ACACACTGGTTTGTTTCCAATCAGGACATGTCCTATAGCTTCCTGTTGAAAACCTGTAACTTTTTCATTTCACAAATGTTCAGAGTGTGTGCCTGTCCTGCTTTTGTTGTGCTATAGCGCTAGACTGCCCCTCCAGATGGCCATAAGATGGAAAAAGGAAGGTCCGATTTACACTGCCCCATTGTTAAATTCAATAAGACTTGCATCTGATTACATATGGTAAGGATTGTGCTGCTAGTGTGTCAAGAGTCCTTTTTAACTCCTTGCCAAGTTGTCAAAACTTGAGACTCACAACATATTCCCCCTTCTGCTCTCCTTACTTTAGCTCAAGGTCCCAACTCCAAAGGAACTAAACAAAGAAGTGTTTTATCTAGCTAGAATGAGTTATTCTCAAAACCCTTGGGGAAAATACTGAGAGATTTACTTAAACTAGTTCCTGGGCAAAGCACAAATGAAGATATAGGTAAATATCAGATACAGGAAAATTTAAAGATATCTGTGGAGCAATGAGCCATTTCACAAAAGAAACCCTTGGGAAAGTGATCATAAATCTGTAGTACCTGTGTGTCTGTGGTATACTTGCCATGATGTGTGTTTGCTATGGGTATGCCAAAGGTAGAAAGTAAAGAACAGCAGGGAGGTCAGGTGTTGGCGAAGTTGGCTGTGCTAGGATTGCTAGAGATTCTAGACTATAGCATGTTTGCAGCATTTTAGGATAGGTGTGACATATACCTGGACTATAGGTATAGGCACCAGTCATCAATGTAACAGTGGCATTATTAAATTTGGAGGATTTGCTGCCATTGGGGTCAAATCTGTGATGAATTAGCCATTAGTAAATCAGCTAAGCCCTTGCTACAATGTAGCTATCTGAAAAAGGGGGTAGAAAACCTGTTGCTCTCTGATGATAAGCAGAGTTCAGCAACCCCTGGATATCCATGGGTTCTCCATCCCCGTTCTCCTTGAAATATGCTCCTTTCTTAATCTCAGGGTCATGGGTTTGAGTCCTAGGTTGAGGGAAATATTCCTGCGTTGAAGGGGGATGGACTAGATGACTCCTGTGGTCTCTTCCAATTCTACAGTTCTAAGATTCCTGCTCCCTTTCATTTCCCTCCCAGCTCAGAACCTGGTAGCTGTTCTGAGCTCCTAGAATTTTAAATGGGGGGTAGATTACCTACCATCAGCTGCAGAATCACCCCCCACGTGCTACAACAGAGAGTGGGATAACAAGGAGAGGCAAAGGGAGTGAGTATGAGTACAAGCCAAGGGCATGTATGTGATGGATGGGCGAGAGGGATGTGGGCCCCAGATTAAGGCTTTGCACAGGGCACCCATGACCATTAATACAGCACTGTCAAGACATTGCTTTCTCTGGCCACACAACTAGATGGGAGAAATAAACCAGACCCTCTCTCCTGAATCCAGCTGCTAGCAAGCCAGACTGACACCTACTGGACAATATATTTGAAGCACATTATTGCCTTCATGGCACTGAGCAGTACACTGAGCAGGGCGGGACTGCTATCTGCTCCAATACAAGAATATTCACCCGTGCAGCTGCTCTCATTGTTAACCAAGTTGAAACACCTACTACATAAATATCTAGCTGTTAGAGCTTATCACTACTATAGCAGCTTTCTCTCTGCAAAGTGCTACTTTACAGGTCTTCGCACTTAATACTGACTCACATAAGCAAGAGTAAAACATGGCAATGAAACACGGTAGGTGGCAACGATTGGCAAGGAATCGATCAGGATACTAGCCACCCTACCATCTCTTACATAGTGTCTAAGATGTGGAACATGCATCACCACTCAGATAGTGAGGAAAGAACAGTGAATCATTTTGAAATAGTTCCCCTTCTCCTGTGGTCTCTAGCACTGCTCAAAATAAAACTGGAAAAGAGGCTCAGCCAGATTCAAAGGGTGAAACCTACCTCAGTCTACCCCACAAACCTCAGCATCCCAAGATCAAGTTTCAGCTCTCCTATAATCAGGTATTTCATCAGTGTGAATGCTCATAAGGTTATTAAACTGAATTTTTAAAAATTGGCTTGTGATGCCACATTATTCCACATTTCAAAATAGATAGGAAATTATATTGCAATGATCCATTTTTGCAGGTATAGAAGTTCTTGAGCTGCTCAGGATTCCTTGGTAGGCAGAACAGAATCTTATTATCTATTGTAGAGAAACCAGTGCTGGATTAGCCTTTCAAATGTTCCTAGTACAGTGGTACCTTGATTTACAACTATAATCTGTTCTGGAGGTCCGTTTGTAAACCAAAACAGGTTGTAACCCAAGGCACACTTTCGACAATTTGGCCTCCAAAAAAATTTGTCTGTAATCCAAAAAAAATGGGTTGTAATCCAAAAATGGTTGCAAACCAGAACATGCACTTCCAGATTTGACGTGTTTGTAATCCAAAATGTAGGCAAACCAAGAAATATGCAAACCAAGGTACCACTGTATCTTCAAACCATCATGGCAAAACCAGCCACTCACTACTTCAGCCAGGATACTGGCAATTGCCTCTGAGTAAGAAGCTGCTGCCAGAGTCACTGGGGAGCCATGCCAAAAAGAACTCACAGCATTGTACGTCCTGCATATGCTGCTCTTCCAACAAATGTGACTTATAAGGGTCAGGACAGGAAAACAGTACACAAGATGGCTGCAAAATAAAGCTGCCAACATTGTTTCCAGTCCATGATCTTTCTGCTCCTAACAGCTGGGTTTCATCTGACAGTTTAGGTTATAGCCCAGGACAAAAACATCATCATGCTGCTCTGGGGCCTTTGCAAACTTTTCCCCAGCAGCTTTTAGTTTATAGCACAATGAGTATACAGTTAATACTCTCTCGGGGCAAGGGTTCCAGCGTCTTCAATAAGATTTAATAAGAATTCTTTTGTAGGGATATAAAACTGTCCCAGAACTGAGCTTCAATATAGGACAAATTGTGATCGTGCAAGTGTTATAGGCATCACCAATGGAAAAGATTTCGTGAGTTATTTAGTATAGTTCTCTGGAACAACAGAATCCCTTATGCTAAAACTAAACCTGACCTGCATATTTTTCCATGCACCTGCCTCTTTTTTTCTGCCAATAAAAAGCAACATTGGGAGCCTGTGTTTGAGCAGCAGGGTGATTGAGAAAGGTGCTCAGTGGTGTGAAGTCTACTTCCCACATTAAAAGTATACGGGGGTGTGTGAGGGACTGGGGTGGCAAAGCTTAAGTTCTTTTATTTAGTGTATGCTTGGGGTTTTTGTGTCAGTGTCACTTGGGGAAGTTCTCTTTCTATTCGCTTGTTATGTTTCCTTGGTGGTGAGAGAGGTTGGGGTGGCCTAGGGTGTGGCTGATCATCTTTGGCTGGCTGTAGTGGGATTTGTTTGTGCGTGGGTGAGGGGGGTTGTCGGGTTAAGTTAGCCATATTGAATCGTATGCTGTTGGTGGGTTATAAGCTCTTTATAGTGTGAGTGGGCATTGTTATCTTGGAAGATGTTCAGTAGGGCCAGTTCTGGGGTGACTTCTAATACCTGTTTAGTTATTTTGCTTATTTCTGGTATGACTGCGCACACTCCTTTTCTGACTGGGTCCTCAATTACTTGGTTTGGTGGGATCTGCTGGTTCAGACACAGCATATGTCTGAGAAGACCCCAGGAGCGATCATGGGGAGGAGGTGCAAGGAAAAAACTGTTGTGACATTTATTTCTTTGGCAACTTGGAAGGACTGTTGTGGGATCCAGAAACGGCAACCTGGAGCTCCGCTGACCACTTAACTCAGGGGTCAGCAACCTCTTTCAGCAGGGGGTCAGTCCACTGTCCCTCAGACTTTGTGGGGGGGCTGGACCATATTTGGGAGGGGGAAATGAACAAATTCCTATGCCCCACAAATAATCCAGAAGATGCATTTTAAAATAAAAGCAACATTCTACTCATGTAAAAACATGCTGATTCCCGGACCGTCCGCAGGCCGGATTTAGAAGGCGACTGGGCTGGATCCGGCCCCCGAGGCTTAGTTTGCCTACCCATGACTTAATTGCTCTCTTCTCCATCAGCTTGGAAGCTTTTTCTGAGACGCCTGCGGGGTAGACAGCATCCTTTGTCGTGCTAACAGATCTGCCTGCCTTTGATCAGTTGTGCTTCAGGGAAGCTCACCAGTCTCTGATTCTTTAATATTTTCAGCCCAGATAGATTTACAAGGATCTCACAACAGTAACTCCCTCAGGGCAAGACGCATAGAGATCAGATGCACCACAAAGCATCTTGGATGGGCTTCAAAAGGGCTAGACCTGTTTCCAACGTGTTCCCGCACACGAGTGTGCGTGAACGTGCCCGTCCGAGAGATGCCTGGAGGAGCGGGCGGTCCGGCGAGACGGGGCGGGCGAGGAGGCCGCGCTCTCTGTGCTCGTCTTACATGCCTGGGCTTCTGCTCGCCCCAGAGAGAGTCACCGCCCCTCCTCCCTCCCCAGCCAAAAGAGATCCTCGCCAGCCGGAGCGTCCCCTGCCGGAGGATCTTCCGAGCGGATTGAGCGCAGCTGAGAGAAGCCTTTCGAGGAGCTGCCGTGTCCCCTGGAAACCCCTTCCCAGCTCTGCCTCAGCCGCCGCCGCCTCAGTTGCCGCCGTCCCTCAGTCCCTCGCTCTGCTGCCTCCTCCCACCCCCAAAGCTTGGAGGTTCCCCAGCAAGGGGGAGGGAAAAACTTTCACTTTTGTGCGTCCCTCCCGGCGTGACGCTGCGCGCTGACGTCACGGGGCGGGGCTTTAATGGTGGTGTGCCGCGAGATTTTTTTTCAGTAAACAGGTGTGCCGTTGCCCAAAAACGTTTGGGAAACACTGGGCTAGACAACTGCATGGAGGAGAGGCCTATCAAAGGCAACTAGCAGTGATGGCTATGCTCAGCCTCCCCTGCTGGAGGGAGCAATGCTTCTGAAAAGTACTTGCTGGAAACCACAGACTCCACAAACGTGTTTCACAAGGACCCCTTCGTTCCCTCTGCCCCAGTACCTGAGGGTCGTCACATCTCTCCAGGGATTTGGCCAGAACAAAGTATATGTTGGGGAAAGGCTCCCTCCCTGCGAAGAAAATGGAGCAATCAGCAGGCACCTGGCTCCCAGCCATGATAGCAGCAGTCTGGCACATGAGGTTGGGGGACATGGGAAGGAAGCATTCCTGTTGCATAGGGCATTCAATTGGCATTTCCACCTACATGAACTCTTAGCCTCCCCCCCCCTTGTTCTGGCCTGCCTCTCTCCTAAGGAAGATGCAAACTCTTGCTGGAAGCCACTGGTAGGGAAAGTGTTCCTATGATTCCCAAATGTTTCAGAAGCATCTTTTTGTTCCTTTAGCTGATTCATATAATCATAGCATGGTAGGATTGGAAGGGGTCCAAGGGTCATCAAGCCCCGGCAATGCAAGGATCCTGCCCATAGCCAGCCCCGTCTGGGCTCCAAACTCCAGCCTTCTGGTTACCATTGCAATTCTTGACGGTGTGGAGAAAGGGGAGAGAGAAATGTGTTGCTTACACTCTCATAACACTGATATGAGATCCACACCATGCAGTCCTTTCAATAACTAAAGTCTCAAGGGCTGTCACATGGAGCAAGCTTGTTTTCTCCTGCTACAGAGGCCCTTAGGGCCTGAAGCAGTGACTCTCCTTCCTTGGAGGTTTTTAAGCAGCGCTTGGATGGCCATCGGCCATGGATCATCTAGTTGAGATTCCTGCATTGCAGGGGGTGGGACTAGATGATCCTCAGGATCCCTTCCAACTCTACAATTCTATGCTGGTATCTTTTAAAGAGCATCCAATGCACCTTTAAAGCACATGACTTCCTCTGAAATGATTCATGCCATTCCCTCTCACAGACCTACAATCCCCAGAATCCCTAACAAACTACAATTCCCAGGATCATCTGGGGGAAGACACCTGGTTTTTAGAACAGGGATGAAGAACCTGTAGTTTGCTTACCCCCATTTCCTAGGAACCAGGAATGGAAAGCTCAAGTGCTTCTAACAGTATGGCTATAGGGAGCAGCGAGTATAAATTGTATCAGAATTAGTATGGGAATGTTAAGGAGGGAGGAGGAAAGAGGTTGTGGAATTCTGGTGGTGAGTGATGATTGGTTGAGGATTTGAAAAGGAGTTTGAAAGCGAGGCAGTTAAGAGTCAGTTCAAAGCAGTGGGTTCTAGAGGGGGTGGTTGGGCAACTAACTATTCAGTTTGAGGATCCGTCGTCATTTTTGTAATAAAGCAGCATATAAGATAAAGAGAATTTAAGGCCATAAGCTTAGGTACACACACCATCCTACAATCATTTAGTGAATCATCCATACAGTCTCCTTTAGTGAGGGTGCAGTACCTAGGATCTGGACCAAACATTGGTATTTTTTGTTCTTTTCTAGTTTCATAGGTTTATGTTCTGGTTCTAATGATGTATAGGGGTGGGGGCTCTTTAAATACTGGGGGCAGCCACACACTCCTTTTCTTCTTTAAAAAAATAATAATTTCCCCTTGTTTTCAAAAGCACATGTATTGTCTCTTTTCTTCAGGTTCTTCAGTTACATTTGTTGTGAGATATTGGTGTTATATGTAGTATAGAGTTGGGAAGAAAAGAGGGGAGGGGAGTGAACCCAACTCTCCTTCTGGGCACTCCACTGCTTTAGGCAGTTTTATTATCGCCCAATTCTGAAACCAGAACTCAACCAGGCAAGAAGAGAGAAGGGAAAAGACTGGGGGGGGTTGCCTTCTTCTCTGTATGTTTCTTTTGTATGAGAGGTAACCCCTCCATCCCTTATGTAAACTGGCAAACGTGCTTAAACCTGGTCCTCACTTTGAAGCTTCTTTGAACAAAGTGGTCCCGACTTCTGAGACAATATATATGTGTGTGTGTGTGTGTGTGTGTGTGTATATATATATATATATATATATATATATATATATATATATATTCATTTTAAAAAGGGATAGTTATCTTTATCCCAATGTCAAAATCCTAAGAACCACAGCCAGCCAGCCATTTTAAAAACAGGCTAGAGGGTTTCCCTTTCTCTTCAATATGGCCATTGTTACAGAAAGTGATATAACAGATAAAAGGGGTGGTTGATGAGCACAAAGGCACTGCCTAAACTATTCAAAACTGTCTTCCCCCTGTATGTTCAACAGTCACAACTGGGTTATAAGAAACAGGTGTACAGTACAGTGCAATTGCATGAAGGTTTGCTGAAAGGGAAGTCCTATTGAGTTCAATAGTACTTACCATATGGTTCTGAGAAACTATTCTGTTCTGGCTGACTCCTCTCTGGAAGAGAAGATCTTACAATTTCCTTACCAGGTCTGGAAACTGGCAGAATTGCTGTAGCCATCCCAACGTTATAATCTTCTTCTCAAAGTTCTGCTTATTTTTCAATGAAGTTGCATGTTCATGTCTGGTAACTTTACATCATTTATTCACTGTTGTTAATTTTGAACCTGATTTTTATGTATAGGTCACATCACTTCAAATTTCCTCACTGTGTAGATGTCATGAGCAGGCTGTCCATACCATTTTATACCAGTTCATTTGAGAAATTCTATCCTAGGAAAGAATTTTCTACAAATTATCTTCCTTGCCTGCAGATGTTCCTTTCAAAGTATATTTGGCTCTTGTCTGCAGGTGTCCTGTAATCTGGATATCCTCAACAGTGGGCATTAATGTAGAGTGTGGGATACAATTATTTAAAGTGCATAGTAGAACAAAGCATTGGGCTCAGTTTTCTGTGGAGCCCCTATATCCCTATGGTTCTCTTCAGACAGCACCACTTCCATAATCATTATCGCCACTCTTTTATACCCAGTGCTTTCAGCATGTCTTTTTCAGTAGTTTATCTGCAAGCATTTGTGTTTCAATAGAAACTCAATGTTTGACTACATGGCATGTGAGGAGGACTTTGCACAACAGTCTATGCACAGCCCTGCATCTGAGGAATAGCCTAACTACACCACATGTTCAACTTAATTCAGTGCTATTGTTTGTAATTAAATGAGCAAGCTTGTCTTTATAGAGAGAGTTAATTTCCACTCATGGAGATAATCACACAATGATAGGGTTTTAATCCAATCAAGAGACTTTAAGGTACATAGGCAAGCTTTTCAAGCCCGACTGATAAATCTTCCTTTAAATCTTGAGTTTGGAAGCACACCGTTATCAAGTTGAAAACCAGACCCTTAAAAATGTCTGTTGCCTTTCAAAATGTTCTGTTGCTGTGGATAGTTCTAAAACGTGAGTCACACAATTCAGAGCCAGGATATGACATTGAGGTGCCTGAGGCATTCAATGATTCCTCCTGTTTCATGTACAAAAGCCACCCAGACTGGCAGCCGACTCTACATCAACACTGGTGTCAGACCACCACCACCACACGTAAGGGCAGCAGGCTAGCTTAGGTGTCACAGTTCACACAATTCTTTATCTCTGGCCCTCACTATGCCACCTGAGGCAGCTGCCTCACTCTTCCTAATGGCAGGGCCTGCACTGTTCAGATTCGAAGTCTCAGGTACGTGTAGGAATGAGTTTTTAAACTCCACAGAAGACAATCATGGGCTTAAGACACCACTCTCCTAAGGTGTCCAGTCTTAACCATCCTTATTTTAAAGCAAGTGCCACTGCACATGGAGATAATCTTTATTGCCTAGGATTTCAGTTATGATCTCCCTTATTTATTACTGCACTTTGCGACTTAACATTTCACAGCGTAACAGTGAGAATCGTTCTGCACTTGGCAACGCTCTCCCTGCTCTTCAGGTACTTAAAATGTCCACAAACATGGATTTTCGAAGTCACGGAAAAGATTTAAAACGTTTAACAAATGGGCAGAGGAAGATGAGGAAGGGCGAAGGCCCTTCCTTTCTTTGGACATTTTTGACCGGCCTCCACCGACGGCCCGTTCCTGTCAGAATAAGGAACCCAGGCAAGGGCCACTTAGGCCAGGATTGGGGAACTTGCGGCCAAGTAGGAACCTCCTTCTATTCCAAGTCATTCCTCCAATTAACGTAGTTCTGTATTGCCAACACGGGCTGGCAGCAACTCTCTGTAGTTTCAGGTCGCAGCTTTTCTCCAGCCCTACTCGGGTGCCACTGAGCCCCGAACCTGGCGCATGCAAAGCATATGTCTTCCTAACTCCAAACCATCCTTGGGCTGAGGCCAATGGGAAGTGGGAGACACTGGGCGTCCCAACAGCACCTGCAGCCCTGCCTTAGGGGTAAAGTTGAGGACTCCGCTCTCCACCTCAGAAACGCGGGGTTTTGCATTCTGACGTGCTTATGACGCTTGTCGGCGACGTCTCTCCAGCCCCCGAACTTTCCGAAACCCTAGCAACGACGCCGTTAACCCTTCAGCGAAGAGAAGGCGCTCCCTCAAGAACAAAATGGCGGCAGAGCCGCTTTCTCTTCCCCCGTCTCCTCTCCGCCCGCACACTCTCTTCTCCTCCCAATTACGCCATATCCGGAGGCGGAGGCGACGCGACCGGAAGCTGGTCGCGTTTCCAAGATGGCGACTCCCTATGTTACTGATGAAACCGGTGAGTGGCGGGGAGCCGCGGCTAGGATGGGAGGGGGGCTCTCGGGTACCGGCGTCCCCCTCCCCGCCACCACCCTGCCTCACGCCAACCCCGACAGCTGCCTCGCCCCGCCCCACCCCCCTCCGGCCGCGGTGCTCCTCGGTTATCCCCGACATGACGCCCCTCCCCTTCTCCATCCTTGCCCCGCCTTCCCCTTCCATTCGGCTCCGCGACCACGCCCCCTTCTGAAGGCCTTTCCCGCTCCCCGGTTGCGGCTTATCCCGCGCTGCCTTCCGTTGTGGCCACGCCCCTTGGCTGCGGTGGCCACGCCCCCGCGGCCGTTAGAGCCGAACCTCCCCTCAGTCGCCTCAGATCCATCTGGCCGGAGGGCGGAGGCGGCCTCTCCTCTCCGCCTTTCGTTAAGGACCGGCGCTATTGAGGGACAGCGATGGGGGTTAAAAGCATTGCCTGCGTCTCGCACTCTGACCCCTCCGTCCCTCTTTATATGAGGACAGTGATGGTGTATAAATCATGAGACCCTTAATATCAGGGTCCTGGGTTCGAATCCCACGTTGGGCGAGAGATTCTAGCATTGCAGGGGTTTGGACTAGATGACCCTTCCAACTCTACAGTTATATGGTTCTGACACTGCATATGGTGACTCTACCTGGTCACTCCCTCCAGTGCTGGATTAAACCCTGCGGAGGCCTCCAGGCTGTTGAAACCTTGCAAATGATCTCCTAAGACGTTTTTGTAATTTTCTTTCAAGATCGCATCAGTGTTATTTTGATCGTTGTCGCAGGGCCCCTAAAAATGCCCATTTGGTAATCCGGCACCACCCTCCATCCCCATTATGAACTATGTGGAAGCAACGCTTATAGCTTTCAGTGAAGCTACTCCCTCCCTGCCACCCCGTATCTTAGCTTTTCCTCACACAGGTATCCCCTGTTAAGCCAAATGCTGCTAGGGTTTTAAGACTGCGAGTGATTACGGGCCTCTTTTCTCCCACACCCAATACCAAGAGACCAGATGCAAAGTAGGAAACTTGGATAGTTGTGCAGAAGATGAAATTTCAGCAGGGATGGAAAAAGCTGCTGCTGCTGCTGCTGCTCTTTCTCCTCTAACAAATCAAGGTACAGAAGAAGCCTTTTCCTCAAATACATGTGTAGTGGCAAGGCTTCGTTTTATTTCTGTTTGCTTACTGCATTTATATCCTGCCTTTCCTCCAAAGAGCTAAAGCAGCCCCTGTGGTTGTCCTTGCCTTTATTTTATTCTCACAAGACCTCTGTGAGACTGAGAGGTAGTGACTGGCCTAAAGTCAGCCAGAGAACTTTGTTGTTGAGTGAGGATTTGAACCCAGCCTCTCCTATCCTAGTCATGCTCAAACTGTTATGCTGCTTAGGCTCAAGTGACCAGTGAAGAATAATAATAATAATAATAATAATAATAATAATAATAATTTATTATTTAAACCCCGCCCATCTGGCTGGGCCTCCCCAGCCACTCTGGGCGGCTTCCAACTGAATATTAAAACAGTACAGCATCAGACATTAAAAACTTCCCTAAAGAGGGCTGCCTTCAGTTGTCTTTTAAAAGTAAAATAGTTGTTTATTGCTTTAACATCTGCTGGGAGGGCGTTCCACAGGGCAGGCGTCACTACCGAGAAGGCCCTCTGCCTGGTTCCCTGTAACCTTACTTCTCGCAATGAGGGAACCGCCAGAAGGCCCTCAGCGCTGGATCTCAGTGTCCGGGCTGAATGATGGGGGTGGAGACGCTCCTTCAGGGTGCATTGTGCACCCTCTGACAGATAATGGTGGTGCAGTGCTTTTTGCTTTTTTCCTACATTGCATTATGGTAGTTCCAATACTCTTCCCCATGACTTCTAGTAAATGAAATGATTTGTGCGTCAGCATATGCTGGGTACTTGCATATTTCATCTTCAATATGGGATTTAAAATACTGAACTGATTTATTCTCTGTGATCCTTGCAGTAGCCCTGTAAGTGAAGTGTTATAGAAATGTTAAATGTTCTGCAGCAAGATATCCACTTGTGGGATAATCAGATGGGATGAGCTCTAGGGATGTTTTCACATTAATTTCTACCTGCAAGCCAATTCCTAATGGGAACATGGGAACATGCAAAGCCGCTAAATAAAGTATGGTTCAAATAACTTGACTTGTTTGAAACTGATGTGCCTTTTTAATGGAAATGGTTTTAAAGTAATTTAGTAAGCATATTAAATAACTATAAAACCATTTCCAAAGCCAATTTCCATAGTAGCAAAATTCCTCTCGGAAAAATCAGAAATCAGTATGTACAGGCTAAAGCTCCTCTGCTGGCTAGCAAGGCTGATTTTACACCTTAATAACTGTTGATATTTATTATTGTGGTACTGTGTATTTTGGGTTTATGGGCCGCAATAAAGCTTTGTGTGTATATATCAAATTTAGGCATATCTTGTCTTTTGCTTTTGCTTCTTTTAAAGGAAGTATTATGGTGTGATACAGCTTCATTGTTTGCTGCCTTGGGTGGACACGGTCCAGAAATGTGGCTTATGAATATTTCAAATAAATGAACATTCACAGGATTTTTTAGAACGCTGAAAAGCCCACATGATCACATAGAGATATGTAAAGATAGGGTATCTTTTCACAAATATTTTTGAATGTTTTAGGGAAATACATCGCTTCCACACAGCGTCCAGATGGCACCTGGAGGAAACAGAGGAGGGTGAAGGAAGGCTATGTTCCCCAAGAAGAAGTGCCCGTGTAAGTTAAGCACTCGTCTCTGCTATCCTCTCTTTCTTTCTTTTCTCCTTTCTCCAAACAATGCATTGCCCTAATTTGGTGCAAGCAAAGGGTACATTGTTTGGTATCTTCCCAACAGTACAAAGGAAATAATGTAGAAGGAAATATTGGTCTGTTCCATCTGGAAATTTGTGTGGGGCCCATCTATTGTATGTCACATCTTATCTGTTTACATGTATATGTAAACACAGCTCCTAATTACATTAACACTATTTTATTTTTATGTATTTAATATAAATTTAATAAACTACTGTTAATGTAATTAGGAGCCATGTCGAGCATGTGAACAGATCAGATGTGCCATAATACATACGGACCCCACACCAATTTCCAGATGGTACAGACCTTCTGCTCCTTTCTCCATTCCTCCCATTTTACCATTTGGTACCTTCCCTTCAATCTCACCTTCAGATTATGATTATGATAAACCTAAATATCTGAAAGAGTGGCTGGGGAAACCCAGCCAGATGGGTGGGGTAGAAATAATAAATTATTATCATAAGAAACAATCTTGTTGAAACTTGTTTTTCAAGGAATATCTTCTCCCCACTGGCCTCTGTTATTGGAAATGAGAGCAACATGCAGTTCTGTTTAGACATTTTGCATATCTGCAGTTATGACATCACAAACCAAACAGAAACTCCTGCCTCAGTAGTTCTCAGTGTGAAAGTGCAGCAAGAAGGAATTGCAGCAGGAATGGTAAACACACTTGTGTTTGACTTTAGATATTCTTCCCCTCAATTTAAATAAAGACCTGGGGTGAGATCCAAAGAGCCACTAAATTAGTTCTGTGCCGCCAAAGAAGCTTGTTTCTCAAACAGCTCACTCTGCCACACACAACATACCACTTTTGAAATTGAGGGGAATTTCAAAAGCAAATTGCAATATTGTCAGGTATGGGGAATGGTTGTCATCATTCTCCCTAGGCACTCCCTGTCCACTCAGAATTAATTAATTAATTTAGTTAGTTAGTTACAGTGGTGCCCTGCAAGACGAATGCCTCGCAAGACGGAAAACCCGCTAGACGAAAGGGTTTTCCGTTTTGGAGGTGCTTCGCAAAACGAATTTCCTATGGGCTTGCTTCGCAAGACGAAAATGTCTTGCGAGTTCCTGCAGGGTTTTTTCCCTCCCCCCTCCCTTTTCCCAAGCCGCTAAGCCACTTATCAGCTGATCCGCTAAGCCGCTAAACAGCTGATCGCTAAGCCGCTTATCAGCTGATCCGCTAAGCCGCTAATAGCGCTAAGCCGCTAATGGGCTTGCTTCGCAAGACGAAAAAACCGCAAGACGAAGAGACTCACGGAACGGATTCTTTTCGTCTTGCAAGTCACCACTGTAGTTAGTTCCATCCAATGGTCAGGGACAACAGGACTAGTAGCCCTACAACATCACGAGGGTCTCAGGTTCCCCATCACTGCCCTCGGACCAGGTGCCTAATAATGTTAATGTGGTTTTATCACCCATGTCTTTCTGCTTTAGAGACACCATTGATCTATCAACAAAAGGAAGCCATCTATACCAGGCAGCAAAATAAATAAATTCTGTACCTGCCACCCTGCCTTTTGTAGGTGCTGCTGCTGCACTTTCCCCACCAATCAGTGTTTATGGCTTCCCCACCACCACCACCAACAAAAAACCATCATAGCTAAAAACGTCCCTTTAGACTTGGGACGGGCGTTTACTGAAGCAATTATTCCAGACTGCAGTATGCACCGTCCGTCTGAGAACCCAAAGGTGGCATGGATTCTTCAGGGCACTTGCATGCAGCTGCAAAACCAGTGTCTGCCCTAAGTAAGGAGCTGCACAGACACAACATCACTCCTGCCCCAGAACTTCATGCTGCAATAGCTGCTGCTTTTTTATGGAAACGAGCTGGAATTACAAATGGACAGTTCTATTATACTTTTAGGGGCTCCCCCGCTCTCCTTTCTTATAGAAGCACTGAAGATATGATTCCTCCCTTCTCTCCCCCCGCCCCTTTATTTCAAGTACTGATAGAAGACAGTTCTGATCTCTTTTGTTCCATGCAGGTACGAGAATAAATATGTGAAATTCTTCAAAAGCAAACCAGACCTGCCTCCGGGCCTGAATCCAGAGGTCAACACCCCGGTGGCCAGGCAAGCTTCAAAAGGACCAGA